GCCCTTACACCATATACAAAAATCAACTCAAAATGGATTAAAGATTTAAACATAAGACAAGATACAATAAACCTCCTAGAGGAAAACATAGGCAAAACATTATCTGACATACATTTCAAAAATTTTCTCCTAGAAGAAATAAAAGCAAGAATAAACAAATGGGACCTAACGAAACTTACAAGCTTTGCACAGCAAAGGAAACCATAAGTAAAACAAGAAGACAACCTACGGAATAGTAAGAGTCTTAAGCTGGGCCAGTTCTTTAAAGTGTTTTAGCTGCACCCTATCTTTTTAGAAGCAGGGAAATATTACAGCTTCATAAGTAACTTTATCTTTGATGCTTTTAAAAAAATTTTTTATAAAACAAAACTGAATGTTTCCATGCCAGTGTTCCATGCCAGATGATTATTGCCAATTATCCATATTGCTAAGGATGTTATTTTACCATATTCAACCAGAATTTTTTATGCCGTTTCCTACTTTTTGAGGATTTTCAGATATAATGTACACTTTTAGAACAATGCCTATAGTGCTTTGCAAAAGTATAATTACATCAAGGACTTCATAAAAGCCTGATGAAATTTTTGCCATGTAATTCTCTCTAGTTAGTTTCATAATCTATAATACTTTATTTGGTATATGTTTTAAAGTAACCAAAACAGCAGTGGGAAAACAGTAAATAAATCTTCACCTAAACTGTTCTGATAATCATAATTTCAATTTAAATCAATGTATATTTTCAGTATTAAGTAATTTGAAGATGGAATTTTAAATAATTGAAGATACAAAGCTTTATGATAAGTGAGACAGAGGAACAAGGTTCACTCACAAGAACTGGGTAAATTTAAGATACAAAAGGGCTTAGAAATCTTTCTTCCTGGCCTCCTGGTTATTTGAAAGGCATTTAGAGTGATTTTTTTTTCATGCTTAGGAGGATATTGTAAAGAAAATGAGATTATGGCTAAGGGGAAGGCTTAAAACTTTCAAGAAACTCATATCTATAATACATATGTATTATATGTATATATACATTATATATATGTATTATAAAACATAAAGCTTGGTAAAAGTTTGTTTATAAATTAAAACTTAGAAAATGATACGTTTCGAACATGCTTGCTGAGAAAGAAAACAAAAACAAAACTGTATAATTATCGCATCCATTGGGAGTGTTCCCAAGCAATGCTAAGAGAGAATGATTAGAAACTGTGTATATGTTGTAATTAAGATTGCAGAGCCAGGCCACAATTTTAAAAACTGGCCTTACCACTTACTAACTGTGTGGGAGCAATAGTATACCTAACCATATTAAGACTACCATCTAAGAACAATCAACCCCCAAAACTAGTGACTTACACAACAAACCTTACTTCTTATTCATACAAAGCTTACTCTAGGTTCCCACAGACCTCCAGGGCAGCCATGATCCTTCCGTTGGCCCAGCATTCCAGGCTGCTTGAACCTTTTCTTTTTTTAATTGAAGTACATTCAGTTACAATGTGTCAATTTCTGGTGTAGAGCACAATATCCTAGTCATGCATATACATACATATATTCATTTTAATATTATTTTTCTTTAAAGGTTATTACAAAATATTGAATATAGTTCCCTGTGCTATACAGAAGAAATTTGTTGTTTTTTAAATCTATTTTTATATATAGTGGCTGACACTTGTAAATCTCAAACTCCCAATTTATCCCTTTCCATCCCTTTTCCCCCATAACCATAAGATTGTTTCTATGTCTGCAAGTCTGTTTCTGTTTTGTAGATGAGTTCATAGTGTCCTTTTTTTCTTTTTTTTTTTAGATTCCACACATGAGTGATGTCATATGTTACTTTCCTTTCTCTTTCTGGCTTACTTCACTTAGAATGATGATCTCTAGATCCATCCATGCTGCTGCAAATGGCATTATTTTATTCTTTTTTTATAGCTGGATAATATTCCATTGTATAAATATACCACAACTTCTTTATCCAGTCATCTGTTGATGGACATTTAGGTTGCATCCATGTCTTGGCTATTGTATATAGTGCTGCTATGAACATTGGGGTGCATGTATCTTTTTGAATTAGAGTTCCCTCTGGATATTTACCCAGGAGTGGGATTGATGGATCATATGGTAAGTCTATTTTTATTTTTTTGAGGAATCTCCATACTGTTTTCCATAATGGCTGCACCAAACTACATTCCCACCACAGGCTGCTTGAATCTTATACCATCTTCATATTGATAAGGACCTCCATGCCATCAGAGCAGGGAAAGAGAAAGCCTGAAGAATCCAAGCATCAGCTCCTACAACCTCCACTTTTTATTTGATGACAAAATTGATTATTTTGAAGTAGGCAGAAAAGAAAATTAATATAAAGTTAACATGAACAATTTAAAAATTGTATCATCCAATTTTAGAACTTGAAAGGGCCTAAAACTAATCTAGTCAAGCCCCCTTGTTTTACAGATATGGAAACAGATACCCAGAGAAAGTATAAAAATCTTTGTCCAAGGATACATAGCCAGGAATAGCAGTCTGAAGTAAAATTCAGATTTCTCTCCTAGTTCTCTACTGGCTGTAATTGTACCAACAACCTTTGGAAATGTGCTAACACCCTTGCCTCTTCTGTCATATCCTAGGGACTGTGGTTAGGTATCCTGTCCCTTTTCCAAATTTATATTTAATGGAAAACCCAGAAACTATGGTAATCCTTGAAGGAATGTCCCCAGACCTCACATAGTACTGCAATAGCTATTATTAAGGTCTATTCATTGTATTTTAACAATGTGATAGTTATTGTCCCACCTAATTGAAAATCCAGGATTAAATACCATACTGAAGAATTAACCTAGACCCTTCTTACACTACTCTTCAAGGTCTGTCATTATCTGTAGGGAGAGCTAGAGTGCTGAGTTGGGTGTCACAGGTGCTTTTGTTTCCATTTGTTGAGTGAAAGGGAAATCAAACATGTCAAGATCAGTGAAGCACCTCCTGTGTTTATTGAAGGGTATGGCTGGCAGTGACTAATACAATCACTTTCTACTTGAACAGATTCAGGTTCAAAATGTAGCCTCGGTTATCTCTAAAATGTAAGGAATGATTAGAATTCTGTTCCATGCATTTAGATCATTACCATGTGAGCTTTCTTCTTTCCCTTCTGCTGCTTTCCTTCAGACCTCAGGCCTGTGTGTGGAGAGGCCCTCAGGTCATGAAGCTGAGCTGAGGAGGAATACTGCCCTAAAGCATCCTGGGAAATGCTAGACTTGGACTACTGATGTCAGTTACTTCTTTGCTAAGCCAAACTGACAATTCTTAAAATGAGTTCAGGGATTAAATCATCGTACAAAATACCCAAGTACTCTAGCTAAAAATGTTTTGTTTTTTTTTTTTGTGAGGTAACCCTATATAATGTCATCTGACTTTAACAACTAGAAATATTATTTATTCGAATGGCAGCTTGCTTATTTATGACATCAACAGAAAATAGCTACCTACCTAAAGCTAGAGTGGCTCCACCCAAAGATTCTGCAAAATCTTGTTTAGTGTAATGAGGACCATAATAACATTCTTATTATTAAGTACAATATGTATTTTAAAAAACAAAGCTGGTACCTCCTATTCACTTAAAAATGACATTAGTAATATTCTTCCTCCAATGGACTATGAATCAGAGAGGTCTAGATAAGAATAAAAACAGCCTGTTAGTGGAGAAGAGTGGACCTCTTGAAGATGCTAATTATCATTCACATCAAGCCTGGGCAAGTATCTGGGCTAGTTTTATATGTCAAAACCAAAGGGGAAGGCTTAGCAAAGACATTGTCTCTTGCTTCGAATAAGGCAGGCTGAGAAGAAATACATCATTTCGCTCATACACTGAACTCCCCTCCCTTTTGTTCCTGCTCCTCTCCTGCTTGGAGCTGACTCCTCCTTCCTGCAGCTCAGAGGATCACAGGCTGATTGAAGAACACAGCAGTTCAGATGGGGAGCTGTGCTCAGTGTCTGTCTCTCTCTCCCTCTCTCTTTCATTCTCTCTCTCTCTCTGATCCGGCAAAGCTGAAGACTACCTGATAATTTCTCTGCCTTTGAATTCAGCTCTGGAACCAAATGCATCATTTTACTGCTCTTAAAAACTGAATAGAGTTTGATTACCTCAAGCTACCAGCCGCTTTGCTCCATTAGAAGGACCCAAAAGGACCCAGACATCATTATTTTTCAATCTACTTGAGGAGCTTTTGCTTTCATGCCTGAAACTTGATAGTTTCAGGAGGAAGTTTTTGTATGTTTGTTCTTAATTGGAATGTTGAAAACTTTCTTATTGATGCTCTAAGTGGAACCCAATTTTAAAATATGAGTTGAGTCAGATTTAAAGGAGACTTGTCTGACCATTTTCTGCTGGACTGATGGGGGAACATCTTGAGGGAAACTTGGTAGGAGAAAATGAGATCTGATTTGCAACTAACAGCCATGCTTAATTTTGAGAATATTTACAGATTCATTGAAAAAGAAATTAAATATTGACCAAGGACAATGTCTGTATTTCTCAGTAATTTATCAACAAATGACTCTAGCCTGTGGAAAGAAAGACATAATTCGACGGACCTTTTAAATCCACCAGGAACCGTGAATATCTATCTTTTTTGCCTGACGTGCTTAATGACTCTTGCAGCCCTGGCCGGCAGCATTTATTCACTAGTTTCCCTACTGAAAATGCAGAACAGAACTGTTGTGTCCATGCTGGTGGCTTCCTGGTCCGGGGATGATCTCATGAGCGTCTTGTCGGTGACCATCTTCATCTTTTTGCAGTGGCCAAACGAGGTCCCTGACTACTTCCAGTCTCTGTGCACCACCTCTGCCTTACTATATTTATGCCAGGGCCTCTCGAGCAACTTGAAGGCGACTCTCGTGGTCTCGTACAACTTTTACACAATGCACAGAGCTGTAGGGAGCCAGGCAACCTCCAGAAGATCCGGCCAGGTGCTCGGCGTGGCGTTGACCGTGTGGGCAGCCAGCCTGCTGCTCTCCGCGCTCCCGCTGTGCGGCTGGGGCGCCTTCGTGCGCACGCCCTGGGGCTGCCTGGCCGACTGCTCCAGCTCCTACGTGCTGCTGCTCTTCGCTGTGTACACTTCGGCCTTCGGACTCCTCGCCGGCCTCTCCGTCCCGCTCACTCACCAGTTGCTGTGTTCGGAGGAGCCGCCGAGACTTCACGCCAACTATCAGGAAATTTCCCGCGGAGCTTCCACTCCAGGGACCCCTCCAACTGGAGGAAGAGTTCTTTCCCTGTCCCCAGATGACGCTCCGGGCCCCGCCCTGCGGTGCTCTGGGGGATGCTCCCCGACCTTGGACACCGTGTTTGGACCAGGTCTGCCTGCGAGGACCCGGCTAGGGCAGGAGCCCGGGAGCGGTGCTGCCGCTGTGGCTGGAGCCTGCAGGCGTGAAAAACGGGGGACTCTCTATGGCACCAGGAGCTTCACCGTGACCGTAGCGCAGAAGCGCTTCTCTTTGATCCTTGCTCTGACAAAAGTCATCCTTTGGCTGCCCATGATGGTAAAACTGCGGTTGCTCACGGGTGCGCGGGTGTGTGTGCAAGACATACGTATGAGTGTGTTTGGGGACCAGCATCTCCGGTTTGGAGGGTAACCCAGAGACGCGCAGTTAAGTCCGCTTCCAAATGTGTCTCGCTCGGTTTTAGAGAAGCGCTTGGAGGAAGGCAGTTCACGGGTTGGGCTAGTAGCCGTGAAGCCTTTACTTAACGGCGGGGAGCGCTTTCAAGTAAGGGAGACTTCGTTTTCCTAGATCTGTCGTGGTCAAGGGTGTTCTGTCTGGGAGTATTCAGAAAAGGAGAGCGGTAGTAAGAAGGTTGGTTGGTTGGTTTTTCCCCAACCTTGTCGTGCCCTTCTCTCTGCTCCATTCCTGCCTCGTAAGGACGCCTATCCCCAGCAGGGAGAGAGGTGAGGGGACAAAACAGGCTTTTGTTCAAGCCTCCAGGAGGAAGCCCAGCTGAGAGGCAAATGGGTGGCACCCTGCTGTGACAAGTTTGGTTTGGCTGAAGTGAGGGGCCAAAGATAGACAAAGGCCACCCGGAGTGCCCAGTGCAGATTTCTTGCCTGTTTTCCGGGGTAGCATTGCTCACATTGTGAACTGTGTTTCCTTGATGGAGACTTGAGCTGGCAGCTGGCACAGACCAAGCACTCAAGAGTGGAAACCCTCAAAGCCCTGAGCAGTCTGGAGCAGTGGGCTTCCTCCCAAGGGATCCCAGTAGTTCACCACCAAAACCAGGAATGCCAGTCCAGGAGCAGAGCTTCTGGCTTTCAGGCAGGAAAGGGGCGTGGAGAAGGGAGGTGGGCAGCATGCTTGGGGGAAGGCTTGGCACAGTGGAAAATGTTGTCTTGGGATAAGACTGAAGCTCTGTACTTTTGCAGATCCACATGGTGGTCCAGCACATCCTGGGGTTTCAGAGCCTTCCCTTTGAGACATTCAGCTTTCTCCTAACCCTACTGGCCACCACTGTAACTCCAGTGTTTGTCTTGTCCAAACGCTGGACACACTTGCCCTGTGGCTGCATCATCAACTGCAAGCAGAACAAATACACGGTGGCATCTGACGGGAAAAAACGTGAGTCCTAGGCAGTGAGGTGGCTGGGACCAGTACACATACAGTCCAATACAGATAGGTGGTCTATTGAGAAAGTTGCCTGGGTAGTGAATCAAGAGTCCAAGGACAAATGAAATGGTAAATAAAGGGAATAAATTATAATGTGAAACAATTATTAGCACAATAGTGGAGTAAGTTTTAAATGAGGCAGGTTGAAAACAACTCTATGAAGTGCCTGTGCATTGCATAGTTATGTTCGGTAAGGAAAGGAGAGAATTCATTCAACACAGCATAAAGTCAGCACAGGCCCTTAGATGTTATGTCCTCCACAGCCCTTAAACCAGAACAGAAAGTAACCCCCCTCCAAGTCCACATATGAGAAGCCAGCATCTTTGAAAAGTTAAGAACTCATTATATTATAGCCTATTGTTATTTAGTGAAACAGTAAAGAAAAGCATTTTCATTATTTTGCTGCTTGTATTCTTCCAGGGTTTTGGAAAGTTTACAAAGTAAGCAATAGGAGTGGCCAAAAAAAAAGTTCCAAAACAATTTCAAGTGTATGCCTTTGCTTTTAGAAAATATCTACATATACACACAAACCAACAACCTCCAAAACACCTTTAGTTTCAAGAAAAGACGAAAGTGGCAGAGTTTGTTAGTGTATGTTCATCTCTGAATCTAGCCATGCCATGGGGGGAAAAAAAGCAAAACACCTATGTTCTAAAGCGTATACCTAGAACAGGAGTGGGATCAAATATAAAACTCACTGGAGTGTAATTGTTTCTGTATGGAGACAGGAAAAGTTGATGAATACCCTGTATATTTTGACTCTGCCAGGAAGGAAAAGGATAGATATTTTCTGTCATTCCAGACAAAAGATAGAATGTTCTACCCTTTAATAAATCCAAGATTGCATTATTGTATGCTGAACTGACTGCTCCATTAATTGTCTTTTTCTCAGAATATGCAAGGGTATTATTCTTTAACAGAAAAGAAGGAGTAAATAAAAACAGTTCATCTCAGAATATTTGAGGGCTGTAAAAACTGGCAAATATTAAAGTATATTCTGTAATCAATTCTTCAACAAGGTTATTATAATAAATATTAATTAGTCATGAACTGGTTCTTTTCCATGTATTGATGACAATTAATGTCCAGATATTTTTCAAATGACCAGATTCTTTTTAGTGTTAAGGATGCCATAAAGTTTTACTGTTAATAGATGCCAAGTTTATCTATGCCTTTAAAACAAAATAACCATGGAGCTTATAATAAGTATGTGCTTCTAGAGACTAATAACCAGAGCAACAGTGACACAGAAAATTAATAATAAATCTTTTTGAGACACATTAAAGAAATAGAATATATAAAAATCACCTACAAGCCTGAAAGTTCTACCATTCTATCAGATGTTAATAATTGTCACTAAATTAATGAACCAGCACCATCTTATAATATTTAAGATTGTAAGAGATACAAGGAGAGTTTAGGGCAGTCATTTTTTTTTATTGTAGTGTAGTCAGTGCACAATCTTATGTCAATTTCTGGTGTACAGCATAATGTTTCAGTCATACATATACACACATATATTTGTTTTCATGTTCTTTTACATTATAAGTTACTACAAGGTATTGAATATAGTTCCGTGTGCAGTCATTTTTAAGAACTAAAGGGCACCTGTGTGAGAGCTGAAAACAAAGCAATACAATGGCTCTATCACTGTCATAGGAAGCATTCTACCTTGTGCTGCACAAGGTGGAAGAACCTACAGCAGGCCAGCAGAATCAACAATCACAGTAATATCTCATGTTTGAAATTAGAACCATGCGTTTCAAGATCATATTTTTCCTCTAAAATTACCATTGCCATTATTTGTATTTACTTTACAATTCCAGAGAAGGTGCTGAACTGTAAGCTCAGAAAGGCATGGCTTCAAAAATAAAATGTTGTGAGAAACATTAGTTTAAAATGGCTCCATTCTCTTTTGATCCCAGGCTGTGCCACAGGGAAATTCTAAGGATAAGAATGATGTGTTTTCACCATGTGAGGACCCACCATAAGTTTTCCTATTGCTAGGATGACACAAAAACAGAATTTTGAAGGGGAGGGTATAGCTTAGTGGTAGAGTGCCTGCCTAGCATACATGAGATCCTGGGTTCAATCCCCAGTACCCCCATTAAAAAATAAACAAATCTAATTACCCCCGTAAAAGTAATAAAAACCTAAAAAACAGAATTTTGAAACCCCAAAGATGGTTCATCTTCAGGTGGGCAGGTACTGATCCATTATGGTAATTTGATTTTTTGGAAATATGGCTCCAGTTTCATATTTAAGCTTTTTCTCTTTAACAAACTAATATTTCCCCCTTTTACATTCTTCTGCAGGGAACTCCAGAAGCAAGGAAGGGAAAATCATTTTTTCATAACTCATATTTACCACAGGTTCCTTTTGCTGATGAAGACATAATTCTGTATCTCATCTTCATTGTATGGAAACTGAGACATGCAACCAGAAAATGAATGTCACTAATGAAAAATAATTTGCAGAAATAATGATATTCTCCTGTTTCCAACAATAATCTGTATTACTAGTGTCTCAAAACAAAAATGGTTTTAAAAAAGATGGTTTTACACAGAGGCCTCAAGTGGCAAACATGGATTGGATGTGGCTTTCAAACCCATTTTGTTTGCATGATATGATGCTTTCTTTTTCAATTAAATAAACAGAATATGTTCTATAAAAATGAGATTTTCAGATTTAATTTTCTGACAAAATCAGAGAATCAGATGTCATGGTACTCTGAAAAATTATGTATATTTATAAGCTGATATAATTACTTATGTCTAAAATTGTCATTAGCAAGATGTGATTAAAGGCAAAAGACTAAAGCTAATTCATGTTTCTTCCAGAGTTTTGCTTTTCAGAACAGATATAAAATTTTATTTATTTTTCATAAGTGTAGAATAGACTTCAAAGGTTCCTGACTCTATCCTAATGGTCTCTAAGTTTCTTGTAAGTTATTAGTCAAATATTTTCAGCTCTGTTATGTTGTTATAACCTGTTATCTTCATTAGTTAGTCAGAATTTACCTCCAGTGTTAAGGGAAAGTCATTAACAAGAAATGTTTCTATTGGTTTCTATTGGTTTCACAATTAATGCACTTCCTCTAATTTTTAGCACATCCAGGACATTCTACTTCCATTAGCACATTTCTCTCATGAGTCTGATTAGCAATAAAGCAATTTCACATAGACGTTAGTAGCTTCAATTCTTGAGTCAGTTAGCTTTAAATTCAAATCTGTTTACCAGGTAAGTTATCTTAGGTAGGTTTCTTCTATCAGACTCAGTTTTCTCAAGTACAAAATAGAACCCATATGCCTTTTATTATGCAGGGTTGTTGTGTTAAATGACATAACCTATGTGCGTACCTGACCAAGGAATGCTCCAGTCTCCTACTGTATCTATAGCAATTCCACTCCCTTCTCATAGCCTAACTCTGACTGCCTCTTGCACCTGGTAACATGGAGACAGGTTCTCACTGACACATTCTGCTCAATCCTTCAAAAATCTGATTCATTTTTGCTTTATGTATTTCATAGTTATAATATGCAGCTAATGAAATATATAGCCACAGATACCAATTTTATCATATTGTATGACATCATATAATATGATAAAATTAGGATTTTTATGACAGTTTTTGTTTGCTTCCTATCCTTGAATTGACCACTTGTCACTTTATATCTTTCTTTTTTTAGCAGAAAAGGGGAACCCATCAATAATGAAAACACTCCTTCAGCTTTCACACTATTAAATTAAAAATCCTAATTTAACTTAACTGGACTACATTATTAGAAAAAGTGTGGTACTATAAATGAGACAGTGTATAAAACATTAATATCTGTTTCTACTTTTCCATTTTCTTTGCATATACATTTTTGTTTGTATCCTGGCTCAAACAATGAATATTTTGACTCAAATAATGAATGATATCTATTAATTCTATCTTTCAGTCAGAATTGGTTTGTAAATTTTCAGTTCTGAGAAAATTTTGGTAGTAGAATCAGCATGTGAATAACACTAGGATTATATTATAAAATGAATCAAATTTTACCTGTTGTTCTCATAGAAATTTTAGTTTATAATAAATTTTTTCCACCAAGGATAGCTAAATATGTGCTATGAAACACAGAGCTACCCAAGTAAAAAAAGTTTTTGAAATGAGCCATGCTTGAAAGATGAAAACCAAAACATGTATTACATTTTGTCTAATAGCTTCATTTTTAATACACAAAGATTGTCTAGTATCTAATGACATTTACACACAGTTGTATCACTTCTTTCACATTCTCACCTGTTATCCTACTAAGACTTTATACCATATACACCAAATAATAGTGCAATGTGTTGGATACCATCATAGTTCACCTGATTTAAACCATAGAAAGTTTTAATGCATTCCTGCTACACTCATTTTGTAATTAATCAGGTTTATAGACATGTTGTAAAGTGCTTCAGTTCACAGAAACATGAATCTATACACTCTTTTTTACAATTCATTCCAAATTGATTCAGCAATATACATGTTATTTTTAAAGTTTTAAAGCTGTATTGCAGCAATGTCTAATTTTCAATGTTTGCATTTATAAGCATATAAATGTCAGGAATGATAAACATCAAAATATTTAAAGCAGTTATATCTTGTTGGCATTGTCAGCTGAATAGCTCATATAATATTAAGAGCTTCTTAATAATTAATTTCTGGCAAAATGAAATTTATAAACAATGTATTTTATCCCCAAATAAAGAAATGTACAGGTAATTGGTAAACTGAAGGCGCTTAAACTAAAACCGAATATACATGAGACTTTTCTAATTTAGGGTTAAATTTTTCTTACCAAAATTTCTTTAAAGACATCAAAGTCTTGGGGTTGTATGTATTTCAAACCCTTCATTGTGTAAGTTAGGGCCAGAGTGATGAGATGGCTTGAATTCATGAGGCATAATTGCTTTGTGTAATTGACAAGAAGTAAATAAAGATAGTTTTAAAATTTATACTAATCAAGTTGAATGTACCTTCCTGTTTTTATCAACTTTGTATATCCAACTGCTGTTTATATTTACCTTTCTAACCTTGGAACTTTGCTTTTGTTTTCATATAGCCAAAAGGAGATGCTTTGAATTCAATCTATCATTCCAACAAAGTTATGGAATTTATAAAATAGCACATGAAGATTACTATGAGGATGATGAAAATTCTATATCCTATCACAACCTCATGAACTATGAGTGCAAAACTTCAAAAGACTCTCAGAAAGACACTCATAATATCTTCAATGCCATAAAAGTGGAAGTCAGCACCACAACCTCTCTGGACAGCTCCACACTAAAAGGCATCAACAAATGCACAAACACTGATATTACAGAGGCTAAACAGGATTTCCACAATGAAAAGAGTGTTGATCCACTGCTTTCTGAAAAAACAGAAGGTGATATTAAATATGAAGAAACCACCTTTTTAGAAGGGCCAGAAAGAAGACTGTCTCACGAAGAGAGTCAGAAACCAGACCTTTCAGACTGGGAATGGTGTAGGAGTAAATCAGAAAGAACCCCTCGTCAGGTACAGTAAAAGTTGTTCTTCCTGTAAAATTAAAAGTGAGACCAAATATGACAGCATGAAAAAAAAATTATCAGTTGCTTATTTCATTCAGTCAAGTCCAAGGTTATTTCCACTTACCTCAATTACTTTCCATAATATTAAATTTTATTTCAGTGTCCTTGAAGGACTTCTAAATTTTTTAAATTAGTTGCACTTTCATTCATTCAAAAATCTATATATTTTGGGATTGGCAGAGTTACATAGGCTCTTTCAGAAGGGTAGAGCATTCTATTTTAACCTCAAGTAATCTGTGTAAATTCAGACTAGACTCTCAGAACTTATTTCAAGTTAATTAACTTGTAGGTTTTATGTTTTTCTTTGCCTGAAAAATATTCCACAGTCCTCAAAAGATGTTTGAGGGCAAATATTTATACAACTAGTGGTGAAAAGGTAGTCCTGTTGCAACTATAATGGAGAGCTTGCCTATTTGTCTTGCTGGAACTAGTCTCTCTGTTACCCAGCAAGGAAAAAAAGATGTATTCTAGAATACACTCAAGTTAAGCTTTGCAAAATCCCTGCTAAATGTTCTGTCCTTTTAAGGGTGGAAGAATGGTTTTATAATGTTTTATATAAGTGAAAGCACTTGCACTTTAATCTCATCCCTTTCTTTCCTAGATTCCAGCCTGCCTAGAATGATGACGGGTACTTCTTATTTTATTGAAACTGTAATGTGATATTGATACAAGATTCTTCTTTTCTCCAGACTCATATCTAATAATTAGTTGCTCTTGCTTTTCACACTATTGATTTACTAGCAAGAAAAGCCTTTTCCTACATAATTTAATGGAAATCAAAGTCCACTTGCACCTAGCCTCTGAAATCAAAAATATAATTCTACAAATATCTGCTGGTAACAATGCATTCATTGATCAAAGTATGACCATATAACACTATGAATATGAGCAGAATAATCTGAGATTTGCTTTGTTCTCCTCAGTTAATTAAAACTATTAGTTTTATTTTGATATTACTGGTTTTAAAAGTTGGGTAATAAAACAAAATATATTACTAAAATAATTATTCATAGTGTTTAGTGATGAAGCATTTCAAAATCACTAAATAGTTGGCATAAATTTAAAAATACAGTGAAAAGTGTATTACTTACAGGGCACAATGCTCAGTATTTTCGAACAATGTGGTGCCCCAGCTTAGATGGGAATTCCTACAATATCATTATCAATTTGTTCCTGAATAATCTAAACCTCCTGGTTTTCTTGCTCTTAAAAATTAAGTAATCTATCTTGAGTCTTGTTCATGCTTTTTTGTTTTACTGTTTTGTCACAAAAGAATGTTTTTCTAACACAATATATTGTTTAGTTTTGCTTATTTTGAGCTCCTGGAGATGGTATCATTTCTGGGACTTGCTTTTTTCCCACTCAACATTACTTTAAATGACTTAATTTTCTAGTGCATTTTGTCAAAACATTGGGAATTACCATTTGAACGATCACAACTTTATAGCTCTTATTTAAAATTTTTCGTTATAGTTTAGAGAGTATGATCAATTAACTCCATTAATATTAATACTGTTCCTGCAAAGAACAAGGAATTCAGGAAACTAATCGAAAATGATGGTTGTGAAAAAAATGATTAGTGGTAAAATAGATAATATAATATTCAGGAAAGGTAAAATTTATATTTTCAGAAACTAATTGAAATTAAATGAAATACTATCATAAATTTAAACATAAAAACAACAGTAAGAAATCGTTAACCCATGGGCTATTATTGGTATGACGTTCTCTTAGCAAAATCGCCTATGGACTTCAAGATTAACATTATAACCAAAATACATTTAGGCTCGAAAAGCTTATGAGCATTTTTCCTATGACCAAAGGCTGGTTTTTAAACTCTTGTCCTACTCTTCATCAGCAGATATTTGATGGGAGTAGATGGTAACTTTGAAAGCATGTTCATTTTATCCTTTTCTTCCAAGTTTCTTCCTTGCTCTGAAAGCAAGGTTACTTACGTATCTTACAGTGATACATTCAACTGTGGTAGACACTGCAGTGGCTCTGTGAAAGCACTGTCTCTTTAATTTCTATGGTTGTACTTTCAAATACTTAGGCTCAATTTATCAACTCATATGTAATGGTACTACTTTAAATAGTGTGTGTTTTCTGTTCTCAAGCTTTTAAAAAAGCAGATTTGAGTTAAAATATATTTAATGAGTTCTACTGTGTTACTACAATACACATTGCTTAATTGTTTTTTAGAGTTTATGTGAGTAAACAAATTCTCAGTATATCTTTTTGGAAATCCTGATAGGAATCAGAGTGTCAGGTCAAGGTTAAATTATAAAGAAAATGGTAGTAGAATGGCTTCAGTCGGTTTAAGTATGATCCAATGAAATTTATCAGAGGTTGAGTGTTTGTAAGACTGAAATTCAGTGTTACACTTAGCCACACAATCACTTCTTCTTGGACCCCTAGAAGGTAGAATGTTCCCCAAAAATAAGGTTAGAAATGTAAGAGTTCTTCAATTACAGAGTTTTAATGTTGCCATGGTATGAGTGTTCCTCACATGAAGCAGTGATTTTCCAGACCCCAAAGTTTTGTCTTCTTTAGGAAATTGTACTTATAAAATGATTTAGTGGCTTGTAGGTAGTCACTCTAATTTTCTCTTTTAGTATTAAGCTCATTAAATTACCCACTGATTCCATTTCCTTTTCTTTTAATGTGTTGTCCAAGAGCTCTCAAGAGTCACTTATTTATTACTGTAAATCTGAAACAAAGTTATGTTGTCATTATGCCACTTAGTCCCATTTATAATCCTATCATCATAGCATCTGAAAGATGAAAAGCCCTCCAATATGCCAGTAGAATATAGAAAAACAGATTCTGAAACTATCCTTCTCAAATGAGAGTCAAAGTAGAAGAAAGTGATAGATTTTGCATTATTTTCTTTTTTGTTGTTGTTTTTGTATATTTTATATTGAAGTATAGTTGATTTACAATGCTGTGTTAATTTCTGGTGTACAGCATAGTGATTCAGTTATACATATATATATTCCTTTTCATATTCTTTTTCATTATAGACAATGACAAGGTATTGAATACAGTTCTCTGTGCTATCCAGTAGGACCTTGTTGTTTACCTATTTTACATACAGTAGTCAGCATCTGCAAATCCTGAACTCCCAATCTATTCCTCCCCACCCCTTTCACCACCAACCCCGTAATCATACATTTATTTTCTGAGAATCTGTCTCTGTTCTGTAAATAAGTTCATTAGTGTCCTTTTTTTTCTTTTTTCAATTCCACATATGAGTGATATCACATGGTATTTTTCTTTCTCTTTCTGGCTTACTTGAAAGTGATAGCTTTTGAATTAGCTGCACAAACCACTCAGTATAAGAATAGGTAAACCAGCAAGAACTAGCTTTAAGTCACCTGAGAATCAAAGAAATTTTATTTTTATTTTAAGGAAGATGTTTTAGCTACTTAAAAATAGCTTTACAAATCAAAATTGTGTTGTTTGCTCACAGAATTCAGCAGCAACATTGGTTTCTATAATCTTGTTAAAATTATTTCTTTAAATCATTTTCATTGAAAACTATAGAAATCAAATGTCAGTCTAGACTATTTTGAGTTCTTTAGTTTGAGCTTCTCAAACTTTAATGTATACAAATAAGTCAAATGGGGATATTATCAAAATGTAGATTGTGACTGAGTGGATCTGAGGTGGGACCCAAGATTCTGCATTTCTAACAAACCTCTAGATGACTCTGGTGCAGCATCAAGTTCTATCTGAGACCTACAGAATCAGTAATGTGCATCTGAACCAACACCACTTTAAGAAGTACCTAAGTTAAGTACTTCTTTTTAAATATTACTTTTTAAAATGTAAGAAGTACTGCTTTAGCATCTAACCACTAGGAGATGGATACTAGTTTAAAGATCAGGGCAAAATTAATTATTTCCACTTAATATATATGCCCCATAAAGAATACACATACCTCTTTCCTCTCCCTGAAAGAGTGCACCTTCTCTTTTCATTTAAAAAAATAACTGTTAAAAATTTAAGTCTGGCATGAGATGTTAGTGTTTCCTATGACATTGTCAGCTTGATAATTGCAAATGCTTAAACCTGTTCTCTGAGTAATTTTTGACATTGTTAACTGAAGTGACATAGGAGAAAAACTCACTTTTCATCTCCTATTTGCAGCCTTAAGGCAAAGAGGTAGCCTCATCCTGACACAAAATGACTGTCTAGATATTTTATATTTAGCTACATCCATTTGTTTGGAGTGGATAGTTCATTACTCACTATTCAGAGACCTAAGAAATTGTTACATTTCTGTCTTTTAAAAAACATTTATAATCTTTATTGTTTTATGATTGTAAGGCAATATAATTATTGTAGAAAATTTAGAAATTGCTGATAAGCGAAGAAAAAACACCCACTTGCTACCACACATTGTTAACCACTGTTTACATTTTATCATATAAAACTTTAGGCTCTTTCCTAAGCATATATTTTCACTTTTGACAAAAATGAGATCATATTGCAAGTACTGTTTTGAAATCTGCTTTTCTCCACTTAAGAGTATAATTTTCACCTGATTTAAATTGTTTGATCCATTTGTGTAATTATCTGGTATAGTTTAGGATAGCTATGTAGAGTGTGGCTTAAAACTCATTTACGGATGTAAAGTTGTTCTCAAGTATTTAAATTCTTGAAAATTCAGACTAAGGGAATTTTATTGTAAACTAATTTGAATATTTTGTAACACATTTTGTAATCCTCACAGCACATGTTATTTGCTGAAATGAAGTAAAACTGAGCTGTTAAACTGTTCACTCTCCACGGATTCAAGGGGATTAGCATTGGATCAAAGCTTGTGTGGAATCCTATAATTCACTCTTTAAGATAAGGATTCTGTCAATTTTCTCCAAAAAGCTTTATGGTTTAAGGCAGCTTTAAAGGCTATGTATTGGAACCGCCTAGTTATGGCTTGAA